CGAGAAGATGTTCGGTCGAGGGGTAATAACAAAGTGGTTTTGAGGTCGGGAATGTGGTAGTAGATTTTGTAAATAAGGCACAGCTGAGAGACTTTCCTGCGAAGCTGCAAAGAGGACATGGTTAGTTCAGTTTTTAGCGCCGAGACACTGAAAGAGAAGTCATAAGTGGATGAAATGAAGCGAGCAGCTCTGTTCTGAACTGCCTCTACAGCGTATTGATGAGGTACAGTCGATGGGTATTCCAGATAGTTGAAGCATATTCTATTTTTGGTCTGACGTACGTGTTAAAGGTTAGCTTAGGGACAAAGGGTGGAGCGATTTTTTAAGTTACGTCTGCTTAGTCCAAGAGTTCCAGATGAATCGGCGGTAATGACTTCAATGTGGTTATTCCAGGGAAGGTCAGATGTTAGTCTTACACCAAGGTATTTATACACAGTAGCGGTCTCAATCAGATCGGAGTCCAAGAAGTAATTAAATGACAGAGTGGTTTTTTTCTTGGTGAAGTGGATTAGTTTGCGTTTATACTTGTTTGGTGACATAATCCACTCTTTGCACCAATTGTTAATTTTATCTAGATCTTCCTGAAGCTGGTTATTATTTTGCACACAAGTTACTTTGTTATGGATGACGCAGTCGTCGGCGAAAAAGCGTTTTTTTGAAGAAACCCCAATGGGAATGTCATTAATAAATATTAAAAAGAGTAAGGGCCCAAGTACGAACCCCAGGGGAACACCAGGAGATACATTTATTAAGGAAGATTCATGATCATCATGGACGTGACCTGTACACGGAAAAAAAGAAAGTCACGAATCCATGCAAACGGTTATTGGTCGAGGCAAAAAGATGATAGCTTAGAAAGAAGGCGTTGATGGAGGACACGGCCAAACGCTTTGGAAAAAAAAGAAAAAAAAAAAAAAACTGCGTCAGTTTGGACGTGACATTCAAGGTTAGTGTGAGTGTCATGGATGAAGTCGCAGAGTTGCGTTTCGCAGGAAAGTACCTTTTGAAAACCGTGCTGCTGTTTAAAGAAAAGAAATGGGATGATAGGTGCCTCATGATATTGGAGTAGAGGATATGCTCAAGTAGTTTGCAAGAAATTGAAGTCAATGAATTAGGGCGATAATTAGATGCGGAAGAGCGGCTGCCCTGTTTAAAGACTGGGAATTACCCTTCCCACCTTTTGGTCAGATGGAAGGCAGCTTTGAGATGAGGACTGAATGAAGATGAGTTTCGAATACTCACTAGAAATAACACGGGTGTTTCTTTTAAATTTTAGGGTTGATGTTATCGGTTCCAGCGGACGAAGTAAGTTTTAGTTTATCAATCAATGTTTTAATACCAGCGGAGTTAACGTTAATAGGATGCATGCGCTCGTAAAGCTCTTCAGGGAGAGTGGGGACGAAGTCCAAGCACTCGTTAGAAAACACTGATGAAAAGTATTCGTTAAACACAGAACTATCATGCTCGACGTTGCACATCCGACATTCCTAACTCTCCCCATCTTCCTAAACGTCCGTGTGTGTCCTAACACCAGAAACCGGAATTTTAAAGGTTAAAAACGGCACGTTGCGAATATGGAACGCGCACTTTCATGCAAAGCTGACGTCAAGTGACTCAAATCGAAAAACATGCATATTTACAGTATTGTTATCTCTTCTGGTGAAGGCTAAACAACCGTTGCATCCGTTTTCGCGCACGAAACGGTGACTCCCAGAGAAAGTAAGAACGCAGTGATTGTCTTTATTTTAACAATGTAAACACACTTGCAGGCGTGCGCTGATGAAGCCTCAAAATCAAAACTCTCGTAGTGTGATTCGTGACTGCTCCGGCTACTACCCAACCTCGTTGTCACGCCACTTTCTGCAAGCAAACACTAAAATTGCCATGCAGTAAACACACAAAAGCGACATCGATACAATTATCTTGTAGAATAGCACCTTATTTAATCATAACTGTTTCAATAGGCACTACAAGTTGTATTTATATTAAGAAGAAGAAGCAAAATTTTTTTCGTGAGAAAAAACAAAATATCAATGTTAAGTCTGGTAACGTTGTAATTTTGCCGAATCATTGCCACATCTTTAGAAAACTTCGACAAAAGTTGCGCCGAATTTTCGATTAAGGGGGGGGGGGGGAAGAGGGTCGGGTTTGCCCCCCCCACTCAAAAACAAGTTGGTACGCCACTGCAGTGAAGCTGCTTATAGCTATTTTTCGTGTGTGTGACCAAAAACTCTACGCTTGCACCGCCGCACGCACACTCTTCCCCGTATAAAAGATTCAAATCAAAGTAAATAACCAAAATAAAGCGTTGGCAAACGCGCATGCAAAATAACATACAGCATACAGCACTTCTCGGGGAAGCTGGCATTCGGCACACAGCTTTTGCAGCGGCGAGCACCCGAAACGGTTTTCAAACCCGACGAGAAAAGAAGCGGTAGCACGAGGAGCACGGGCGGACATTACGTTGCTCGGGAGAGGTGTTTAGGCGTCTCGCCGCAGTGGGGCGCCCGTTACATGGCTTCTCTCATCCGTTGTCTGCCGCTCTACCTTTTCAATTTCGGCGGCCGCTTCTTGTGGCGATCTGCCAGGCTTTTCAGTACTATAGAGGAGGCCATGGTTTTAGGCTTTTTGCTTGAGAACAGTTACCGCTGCAGACGCCGGCACGTGCGGTGAGTGGAACACCATTCCCTGGATTCTTGATGCTTGGGTAATTTAGCGATATGTCTGTTTCACTTCTCTCGTCGTAATGGGAAGGCTGCCCTCGACGAGCAACGCGCCTACGAAGAGCAACGGCGGGAACGGCACCGAGAATGGCGGCGGGCGGCAAACACCACCGATGAAGATCGTGCACAAAACGCCGAGCGCACGAGTCAAACCAGACAAGACGAAGAACGTCGCGGGTCAGAGAACGCATCAAAAAGACGCGGGTACCATGCTGCTATAGTGGACAACTTTAATGGAGAATGCGCTGAATTCTGTCACGCCTGTGTCGTATGTGCTAAGCAGCTTCGCTGGTCATCCACCTTCACAGAGTGGAATGGCTCATGTTTTTTTCGCATAGACTTTCATGGCGATAGAAAAGTACCCTATTTGTCTAAATAGAGGGGACCTTAACCGTTATTTAAAATTAAGGTTCTATAATTGTGCCCAAAGCATTCCCACCAAAAGAAGAGCAAAATATCGAAGACCATCAAGCTAACCCGAAAGCTCCTCGGCATCAGCTGCTTCTCTCAGTGCGTCGCTGCAAAGAGGAGAAGCTCGAAGTGCGCCAACGGTGAAGTTTGACGCGCGCGGTGCACAATTATGAACTTTGAACTCTAGCAAAATTAAGCTAGCGGAACTGGGACAATCGAGTACGAGGAAAAGCCTGCACTTTTCGTGCCAGCACAACAGACCGCCAGGTAGAGGCGTCACCCGGGGGAATGTTTCGGGTGCAGGGGGAACGTTCCGGGCGCAGTTGGGAAATGAAAAAGGGGGGGGGGGGGGGGGGGGGGGGTTCCGGGCAGCCTTGTGTGCCGCTGCCCCTAGTGATCTAGTGATGCCACTGCCGCCAGGTTACCTTAAAAAAGAAGGAGGAGCAGCAAGGGAAAAGGTCAATATTTTGAAGGCAGCGCCTTCATGTATCTTATTGGCCGTATGGCGCACCACTACTGGGATATTACAACTATGTTCCGATACAGCAGTTGATTGTATAATATTCCATTGTTACTTGCATATATGTGTGTGTGTCATTCTAACCAGAGTGCCGGGTCGTCAGGTTATTTGTATGGTCTGGTGGTGATTTTACTGGTTGTTTTCCTTAAAGTACAGGAGGAGCTTTAAGTTCCCGGAGCTAAAGGCGGCTCTACCAAAAGACCACAGTGTAAATGTCTGGCGTACAAACATGATTGCCAGACCATCTACCAGTTAGCCTTGGCCAGAATAAATAATTACAGGGGCGAAGGGGCAGCCCCGTGTCAACTTATTTCAAGGAGGAGCGACAAGGAAGTTCCAGACAAGGGTCAGTTCATACCATGACAATTAATGTTGGGCAACAAAAGTCTAAAGATTCTCCAGCGCAGCCCTGAGATTTCTTCATGCAGTGATACTCGCTGAGATTTTGCAATAAGAAGGCGTGGTTAAATGGATCTTGCCCACCTTAATTAGATCGCAAAAATCACTTTTGCGTGCTACGTACGACAAAGGTAATTTGACACGAAGGTGCGGTGCGTTTGTTTTGCGAAAATGTTGAAGGTAAAACTTGCCTCATCAAATGTTGAAAATAAAAACAAAACTATAAATTAATAGACAATGTAAAAGAAACGCCGAACGGGAGAAAGATCGTTGTTAAATCAGGTCTTGTTAACTCGGTAATGTTTCTTCTTTTCTTCTTTTTTTTCTATGGTTAACTTTTTGATTCCGGACACCCGACTGGTGTGAAGCTCATGTGAGTGTAAGGTTTTGCCCTCTTGCAGGTTTCTCTTTCCCCATCCCTGAACAATCGCATTCGCCCTAGGTGTGCACATATTGCATCGATGAATCGGCCGTTCTCTCACGGAATGCCGAGCCACCGATCTACTGAAACAAAATGTCGTCTACCATCCACGTGATAAGTTTTTTTTAGGGGGTGAAGCTCCTTAGGATCTAGCCTTGTCCGTCCGGCGTCTGTGCTCACATCGATTGCCATCCCATCTGCCTTCTTAAAAAAATATATATATATGTTTGCGCAGTCGACAGGATTCGAACCTGTGCGGGGAGACCCCAATGGATTTCTAGTCCATCGCCTTAACCGCGGGACGACTAGGGGGCTCTGAGATGTGGTAGTAACTCAAGAGCTGGGGATGTCATGGATGAAACGTTGCATCGCTCAACGTCTATACAGGAGAGGGCGCTGCGGTCAAATGCTAAAAAAATCAGTATCATCAGCATCACCAGAGCTTAGCCCCACATCATTTAGCACGTGGAGATGCGGTCATTTGTTTTTAGTTTGCAGATTTGCGGTTTTTAAGATGTGGCGCGCGAGCAGCCGCGTGAAAACGCCTCTTCAAATTCCACACGCTGTTTGTGCGTCATCAGATACTGAAGATTGTTTGAAATGCTCTTCGTTCTTAGGAAGAGTTCTGCGCATGCGCGAGCCCTTCTCAACCGGCGGCGAGAGCCTGAATTACGATCGGTGAGTTGAAGCAGGAGTGATGGGAGTTCCATGGAAAGATGCTCTGCCTTCTTCCTCTCCCGCCTGTTCCGCAATTAATGTGTTGCCATTCTTCTTGAAATGAGCGCTTCACCGCTGCACTGTAACGTTGCTTCGCGCAGGCCCGTTTTCTCAGAATGTAGACCACACCGAAAACACGCAGCGCCCCCCACCGTCTTCTCGACGCATTACGACCGATGTACGACTTTCGTCGAACCCCATGAATAGAAGCTGTTCGTGTTGGTTTAGCGTTTTGGAATTTTAGAACGCAAACGAAGCACGTCGATAACAAAACAGGGTGCGTCGGCTTTGTTTTGTGTTCGTTCTGTTTACTTCGATCGTGTTCTGAACTCACAATGGTGAAGCGATCGCGCCGCTTCCAGGACCTACGAAACATTCGAGATGGCCCGAGTGTATGTCGGAATGGCCCCAGGATTCACCGCGCCGCGCAGTACAAGTGAGGTCATCAAGACGCTGTGTAGGAGTTTCGGATCCCGTACAAAAATGTCAGATCGGAGCGGTTCCAGTTCGGAGCCGCGCGGTTCCAAACTTGTGGACAGTTTAGACCACGCTTAGACCCGGCGGATCCGATCTGGTACCGCGCGGTCTTGAGTGTAACCAGTCGGATCCAGTGAGACGCAACGCACTGTGACCGCACGGTGGTGGGTGGATCCGATCCGTTCCCAGTGGTTCCAGTAGGGTCTCGGGCGCGCGCACATGCGTGACTGAAGGAGGAGGGGGAAAGGGGGGAGGGGGGTTGGGTCGGGGTAGGCAGGGAACTTCCGCTTTCTTCCCCGCGGTCTCTCGCAGGTCAGGCGTTAAGGCCCGTTCACACTCTTGCGACCGAGTGCGACCGAGTACGACTGAGAGAGGCGAGTTCTCTTAAAACTTGTTAAATGTTTTTAAAATGAGGGAAGACACTGGCATTGTGGCGCCATCTATGCGGTGACCCTGGAACTGCATTTCACAAGAGCAAAGGTTTTGCGGGATTTCCGAGGTCAAATGTGCGTAATACCCATAGAAAGGCTCGTTTATAACATTGACAAAAGTTTTTCGAGCCAAGAAAGAAAGGATAATGCTCGAGAAATAAAAATAAAAAAATATGCCGGACCGTCAAGTTTACACTACTTCCCAATAGATGGCGCCAGTGTGTTTTCTGGTTTAAGAAGTTGTAAGGAACCTAGGTTTAAAAGGTCGCAAGAGTGTGAACGGGCCTTTAGGTACAGGCGCATCCGCGGCAATCTTAAAGGGGTACGGAAACAAAAATTGAAATATTCAAATTTCGTTCGGAAATGAGTCAAGCATGGCGGATAACAACCGTAAATGATAATCGCGCGTTTGTATTTTGAACGATTGACCATATTTTTCGTTCCAAACGGTGCACTCGAGCAAGCGCTCGAAGAGAAGCGAACGGAGAGCGCGATGCGTCATGGGATATCCGGCGCAAACAAAAACAGAAAGAAAAGATTTCCCGCGTTCGTGGAGTAGCAAGGCAGGCGTGGTTATGAGCTTTGCCCTTGGTGGCGTTGTCAGCGTTGTGATGGTGTCATTAGAGTGTTTTAGTAGATCGTTCAGTCACTCCCGCTGTGCTATCCGCTAGCCGCTATGACCTCCGCTATATGTAGCGTAGCGGAACTACCATTTTAAGTTTTAGTAGAACGTTCGCAACCCGCTACGGATTACAACGTTACGAGAGCTAACGCAACGCCTCTAGCGGCTCTTTCGGACACTAGGGCTCGCGTAAAACAGATTTGTAAAGCAATCCTTCGCAATTGTTTTTAATAACGTCGTTATCTTAATAAAATATTAGGGAGTTTTCGTAGATCGTTTTCGCCGTCCCGCAGGGCCCACCGCAACCCGCTACCATAGCGGGAACTCCACAGTCAAGGCTATCGGCGCGCAGGCGCAGTAGCAACATCTTCGTTGCGGAACGCTTAGCGGAGGGGGCAGCGCGGTCTACGAAAACTCCCTATTGTTTTTTATTGAATAACGTGCTAATCGTTGCTTCTTTTGTAAGTAGGTGACTATTATGTTTTTGTAATTGAATACAACTGTCAGCCAAGCTGTCCAAGCCAATCCGATATGAGTCAAGTGCCAAAGCCACCGAGAAAAATCTTCAAAAATAAAGGACAACCACTGTAGCTCATCTGTTGCGTCGTTGTTCACCGAAAATGAAGCGCCACAGAAATCCCTCATATCCGCCCGCTCGCTCCGCTTCCTTAGTAGGTTTTGTCTTCACGACAAAGCGGTCGAGCAGGGGGCTGCACCTTTCGCTCACAGCACCAAAAACTGCGAAGCTTTTTCTTTTTTTTTTTCTCCTTTCCGTGGCCGTGTTTAGTATATCCGCCATGAATCACTACCTGTTGCAGTCGTGGAACGGCTTTGTCGCGGGTACTTCTCGCAGCAGCAAGGTATAATCCACCCCTTAGAACGACGATTGTGAAACGCACAGACCGAGTAGACGCGGCGTGGTGGCCATCTTGAACAGCGTCCCTCGCTGGGTCTCCCTTATCTCGCCAAGACTCGTTCTCGCGAGAGCCACGCTAGCACGCCGCGCTACGCCCCTCGCTATTTTGGCCCGCTAGCGCGCCTCCGCTAGCCTCCGCAGCTCCGCAATGTTTCCGCTAGCAGCGCGCATGCGCAGTAGCGTCCGTCGCTCTAGCGTATAGCGTAGCGGGAGAGCCAAAACTCTCTAATAGCGTCAGCGCGTTACAACCGAGCCGCTCGAAGTGCCCGTGGGGTGACGAGCGTGTGGCTGGCCCAAGGAGCAGGTAGCTTCCACAACACTGCCAGCTTAGGGCTGAACGAGGTGGGGAAAGCAACTTTTGTTCGAGTTTTGAGCGACGTGCTAATCTTCTAGGGGGAGAATGGCTATGTCCGGTTGCACGAACGAGGGTCCGAGAAAGAGGGGAGTCCTTCCTTTCCGTCTTCTTGAACCGTTTGGTACAATGCGCGACTTGTGAGTTGAGGAGGAAAGCTAAGAAGGAAAATGTTGAAATACCAAAGGGCCGCGCTGCTCCGAAGGAAACTGCTACGTCACGACTACGTAGCAGTTTCCACAACGTTGCTAGACTACCTCCCAAATAGGCTCCGCATGCATCCACCAGGTGCACATTGAAGACCGTTTATTTAGCTTTAAAATTAGTTTTCTTGTGCTTTTCAACGGAAGACTGGTGTTTTTGAGGTTAGGGTGCAACATGCAACACATTAAAGCCAGAAAATGAGCGCTGAAATTTCGTTTCCCTACCCCTTTAAAGGGCAACTCCGCTTCTTTTCCAGTAGTACAAAACTATACAGTTCTCTTTGTTATCATCTACAAAACCCCCATGGCAAATATTACGACGGAATTCCGCCTAGAAGTTCATTAAAATTGCTGTCAAAGTTTGACAAGCACGAATCCGCTGGTTTTGGATGAAACGTGCGGGCCAGACAACACTGCCCGGTTGCATTTCCGCTCTCTCCAAATTCCTTCTCCCGGCACGTCCGCGACGTCATCAAACATGTACAGCTTCTTTTTTTTTTTTTTTTTTCCGGGGAGAGCACGGGTGGCGCCAGCGCCGTGAAAGACGTGAGTGACGCGCTCGGCCGGCCCGGCGCCCGACTATTGATACTACTGATAAGCCGATCGCCTCGTTGAGCGCCGGCTTGTGTTACATCCCATACTTTTGAACACCAAGTAAAAGGAGGAGAGGGAAGCTGCTTTTGTAAGAATTTCGAGTGACAGGTTAATCTTCTATAATCTTCTGGGAGGAGAATAGCGACGCCTGTGCTAATCCAGGAGGCACAAAGGAGGATCCTGATAAGAGGGGAGCTCCTTTTTCCCCTTGTATATCACGTGGGTGTACATGCTTAGTGATGCCGAATATACAATGTTGTCCGGCTTTGCCACCGTTTCGGTGTCGGTTTGTAATCATGGCTAGAGTAAAATTACACGAAAAATATTTTATTTTTCGCGAAACGAAGGATTGGGGATTGTTTTTGAGTGCTTCAAAAAGCAAAATCGGCCACTATCTCAAAATTTTTGAAATTAAGCGGAGTTGCCCTTTAAAGGGGTAGGGAAACGAAATTCCAGAGCTCATTTTCTAGCTTGAATGTGTTCCGTGTTGCACCCTAACCCCAAAAATACCAGTCTTCCGTTGAAAGGCACAAGAAAACTAATTTTAAAGCTAAATAAACGATCTTTCAGTGTGCACCTGGTGGATGCAAGCGGAGCCTATTTGGGAGGTAGTGTAACAACGTTGTGGAATCTGCTACGTAGTCGTGACGTAGCAGATTCCTTCGGAGCAGCGCCGCTCTTTGGCATTTCAATTTTCAACATTTTCCCTTTTAGCTTTCCTCCTCAACTCACAAGTCGCGCATTGTACCAAACGGTCCAAGAAGACGGAAAGGAAGGACTCCCCTCTTTCTCGGACCCTCGTTCGTGCAACCGGACACACCACTCTCCCCCTAGAAGATTAGCCCGTCGCTCAAAACTCGAACAAAAGTTGCTTTCCCCACCCCGTTCAGCAGTGTTGTTTAAGCTACGTGCTCCTTGGGCCAGCCACACGCTCGTCACCCCACGGGTACTTCGAACGGCTCGGTTGTATGACAACGCCACCAAGTGCAAAGCTCATAATTACGCTAAGTGCTAAGTGGCCTAAATATGGCATAAGCTTGCAGTCAGAAGAAGAGTGAAGGTCGATAACTTGAATGCAGAAATTCTTACGCACAGTACCCTCCGCCGCGATACGAAAAAAAGAAAGGCAGTAGGACAGATAGAGTAAAGAGAGCCCGTAAGAAAAGGCACGAGGTCGGACCTACCTCTGAGGTATGGCGACACCAGTTTACGCATGTATAGATGATAAATTTAGCCGATCAAAGACAGATTTCGACTATGGAGTACTTAGGTGTTCACCTCACAGTAGAGTTATCTTGGAAATTACATATTGAGACAATATTACGAAAGGCTAATCAAACCCTGGGATTCCTGAGAAGAAACTTGT